GTAAAAAGTCATTATTCCACCCCTATCTTCTAGCTGTGCAGTTTGTCTCCCTGCTGGCAACATTTACTCCTTCTCTTTCTAGACATTTTATTGCAAATACATATGTTTATCTTTTCATATCAGTAGTTTTAACTGTTAAGTGCTATATATTACCATTCACTATACCATCATTTACTATCTAGTGATGTGACAATAACATTGTTTCTAAGCTTATGATTATAAACAATGCCATACAAAAAATGTCTTGTACCTGTCATTCTACACACATGTAAAGACAGTTTTAGGAAATTCCTAGAGATAGAACTGCCAAATTGGGAATTGGGATTTTAAATTTTCTATTGATACCAAGCAACAGTCCCTATTTCCCCCACACTCTTGCCAGGATTAAAACATACCTACATACACAAAACAAAAAAGGGGCTTACTTTAACTAATTTGAAGGAGAGAAAAATTTATAAACATTAGTATAAGTGACGCATAATTATGCATCTTTTCACATATTTTTCCTTTCCTGGGAACTATGTTTCTTGAGAACATTTCTAATTTTCCTTTTGAATTATTAGTCATTTTCATAATGTATCAGCAGATACTTTAAAGGAAACAAGCTCTTTGTGATTAATTGCATCTACATCTCCACGCCCCACTCTTCATTTGCTATGTGCCATGTCTCCCAATTTTCCATTATGGTAGTAGTTCTTGTTATACAGAACTTTTTATTTTCATGTAGTTAATTTTTATTTTTTAATTGTGGTAAAATACATGTAGTAGGCCATTTTAATTTTTATTATTTTAATTTTCAGATTCTCAACCTCTGCTCAGTTCCAGTGCTCCCTGAGAAGTTAAACATTCTCATCTCCCTCCACAAAAATGAGAGGAAAAAGTAGCAATACACTAACGATTGACACAAAGCATTTATTAGTTTCTAACAATAAGGCATATAAGCTAAGACTATCAGAAAAACTAATAGGGAAATCTTGAGGTCAGGAAAATTTCTTCACAGACAAGTTAAGTGGTTAAATGTGTAAATTCTATACGTCACACCATTTTTTTCCTCCTTTTTGGTCAAGGACTATTCCAGGAAATTTTAATTATACAACTGTTGAGGAGTTCCAACAGCGTCTACTCTAAAATGTAAAGTGAAATTGCTCTGAGAATAATACTGGTTTGATGAGAAGACAGATTTTATTGTATTTTGGACAAATTTGGTTAGTTTCTGACTAGATTTCAATCATTATTCAAAGGGCAATCACCTTTTTTTTGAGAAAGGGCAAATTAAACTTTAAATTAGCATCAGAATTCTACCCATAATTACCAAATCAATATTGAAATAGATGCCATTAAGTATGCAAACACTAACAGAATTTCAGTTACAAAATTTGGAGGGAAAAAAATCTTAATATGTACAGAAATATTGACAAATTTAAGCTAGAATTAGCTCTAGGACATTTTATTTTTATCTTAAAAGGATGGATAACTAGAGATCAGCAGAAATGCTGTTAAAACCGCTATTTGCCTAAAGTTGTTCATATTAATGAAAAACAGATTAATAGTCTCTAAGTTACATTTCACTAAATGAAATCACTGCCTTCTGATTTAACTTTCAGGGGTAAGACGGCAAAACCCAAGCATCAGACTTTGTTTTTCTGTACATAAACACGTATAAAAGTATCTATACAAATGATAATATAAGGAAATAAACACATGGTTATATTTCAGGTCCTACAACAAAAGATATATTTAACTCTCCTATAGTAAAGTCCCATTTTTTTTTCCTGGAATAGCAGATTAACAGAAATGTCAAATCCCCAAATTTCATGCAATTTAGCAATTGATTTTGATTTTGACACCAGTTACTATGGTGTGAAAAGCTATAAAACCCAAACGTTTTCCATGTCATTTAGCAAAGAAAGAAGAATGGAGAACCCTCTACCAAACTTTACCTGCTCCCCTGTCCTGGACCCAGTTTCTTATCATGCAGTCAGTTCCAATGCTTCCAAATCGTCAATTTGGTGCACCTCAACTCCTAACTCCTTTCGCATGAAGAGCCTAGTTTCCTGTCAACTAATACCTAATTTTCCAGGAAACTCTGATTTTTTCTGATTTCACACTGATCATAAACCATTTTATATAAAAGAAAATGCTATAACAGCTATAATAATTAAAGTGGAGATGAAAACTAGATTTTAGTGTCATGCAGGATGCATTTCAAGAGCTCTGCAAATATATGAGAAAGTAGCAAGAAAAATTACCCTGCCTGGATTCTTAACTACTCGTTACACTATGATCTTGCTTTGATTACTAGTTAGGACAAAAGGGAAGCAAAGGTCATAAAACATGCATTTTTAGGAAACAGAATGGCACTTGAAGATTTCTTGGGAGTTCACCAAGGCATTTTTATATCCATAAGGATTGTCAAACTTAGTACATCACAGTTATTAAAAAAGGAAAGGATTGGGACTCCTGCTTACTACTGAGTTTGGCAGAAATATATTTATATTCCTCCCTTGTAATCACACAGTCCTTTATAGACGATGAGTTTAACAATTATAAAGACTATGATAAAGAAGAGAGCTTCATAATCCAGCTTTACTAGATTATAAAATACTCCCTCTTCCCCATGAATTACTTTGTATACCTCTGGAACATCTGAAAAATACTTTTCTGTGACTTACTAGGCTGTAGGGAATGAGCACTTTTAGATACATTACAATTATCTCTAGAAGAATTTGGCATCTTTCTTCCATTAACTGAATGTTTCAACTGGATCTTGAAAGATGCCTGCCAATTTTCATTTTTGGAGCCTCTCCGAGATTTTGAATGCTCTAGATCAGTCTGTCTTTTGAAGTTCCTAGTTTTGGAATTCTTCCTCTGTCCATTTAGCAATTTGTCTGGAGGTGAAGATGTAGGACGTAACTGATACTCATCTGGGGATCCTTTTTGCCGGTTTGGCTTCATTTGTTCTTTATCTACTTCTTTCTGAAGCTGTAACGCTAATAACCTGTCCTGTTCTTCTTGTTTGTGTCTCTCAAAAAGTAAGCGTTCCAAATCTATCAGTTTTTGGGTAAAGTTGATTTCTGTTTCCTCTTGGTCTGAGGAAGCTTTGGGGAACTTTTTTCTTCTTTTGGCAGAAACGCATGGATCCCTGGATGCTTCAGATAAAGATTCCTGTTTTTTTCTTTTGGAAATATCTTTACTGATCGGTAGGCAAGACTCTTCATTTTCTGTCTCAACTGTATTACTTCCAATTATTTGTGTCATACCTGATATAGTGCACCCACTCTCTGTTTTGCCATAAGGCTTAACTGCAGCTTCTTCAGAGCAAGGAACTCTGGCTTCAGGTCCCTCATGATTTAGGACATGTAACTCTTTATCATGATTGGTTGTACTCATTTGGACTTTTCCTTCAAGGCACCATTCTCTACCATTGGCACGTAACTGAGGCATAGGTGACTCTAAAGACTTTTCACCCTGTTCTTGCATTTCAATGCGTATTTGTGGAGAAAGTGTTGGCATATCTTCCTCAATTTCTGTATCTTGCTGTGTAGGGCTCTTTACAACACTACTATCAGTTTCCTATAGAAAACAGAAAGAAACTGCATGAACCACGGGAAAAACAGCAAGTCATAATACAGAAGTCAAATTACAGTGATACTCTAGCTGACTTTTCACTATAGTCAGCATCACTACTAATAACTAATATTAATTTTTAATAGTATTTTTATTCTGTGTGCCAACTTAGATTAAGGAATTCCCTCCTTTTTACTCCCACGGAAACCTATAGGTTAAAGCCCACAAACTGGATTCTATGTATGGCAATGAAGCTGGCACCAGGACCTGACCTCTCTTTCACCTTATAAACTTCCCCTAGCCCAGAGTTTCTTTTTTTTTTTTTTAAAGATTTTATTACACACACACACACACAGAGAGAGAGAGAGAGAGAAGAGAGAGAGAGAGAGAGGCAGAGACACAGGCAGAGGGAGAAGCAGGCTCCACGCAGGGAGCCCCATGTGGGACTCGATCCCATGACACGGGGATCACACCCTGGGCTGAAGGCAGGCACTAAATCTCTGAGCCACCCAGGGATTTCCCAGCCGAGAGGTTTTTAAACCCCTTTTTGTGCCATGGACTCTCCACTTTTCACCATTTTGGTGAAACTTACAGACCTCTTCTGAATATTTTAAGATATAAAAATAAATATGTAGGATTACAAAGGGAATAATTTTTTATTTTTTTAAAAGATTTTATTCATAAGAGACAGATACACACACACACACACACACACACACACACACACACACACACACACACAGAAGCAGGCTCCACGCAGGGAGCCTGATGTGGGATTCCATCCTGGGACTCCAGGTCATGCCCTGGCCCTGAAAGCAGGTACTAAACCACTGAGCCACTCAGGGATCCCCGGGAATAATTTATTAATATATTATTTCTGGGGATGCCTGGGTGGCTCAGTGGTTTAGCACCTGCCTTCGGCCCAGGGAGGCAGCGGTCCACTCTGCGTGGAGCCTGCTTCTCCCTCTACCTGAGTCTCTCATGAATAAATAAATAAATAAAATCTTTAAAAAATAAAATGTTATTTATGTTGTAATATGCATCTATTAATACATTGAATAATAAGATATAGTGAGAGAAGTCTAATAACTTGTAATACTGAAGTAGAGATGAGTACCAATGATATTTGAAGAGACCTGCCACAAACTAATGTGATAAAAATCTGTGATTCCCAATGCCTGGGTGGCTCGGCGGTTGAGTGTCTGCCTTTGGCTCAGGTTGTGATCCCGGAGTCCTAGGATCAAGTCCTGTATCAGGCTTCCCACAGGGAGTCTGCTTCTCCCTCTCCCTGTGTCTCGGCCTCTCTCTGTGTGTCTCTCATTAATAAATAAAAATCTTTAAAAACAAAACAAAACAAAACAAAAAAACTGCTTTCCACTGATGATCAAAGGCACAGCTTTTGTTAACAGTATTATGATTTGATACCTACATTCGTGCTTGCTTTGGCAGCACATATACTAAAATTAGAGTGATACAGAGAAGATTAGCATGGCCCCTGTGCAAGAATGATACATACATTCATAATTAAAGGAGAGGTTAGGTGAAAGTAAAAATAAATCTCTTCCTCCATTTAAGTTCATATGTACTCTCTGGATTCTAACCACAGATCTAGACCTTAGGTTAAGAATCCTTGCTTTAAAAAAATTAAAAAAAAATAAAAAAGAACCTTGGCTCTGGCCTGTGTATTTTTCTTTTCACTTAATAGGTCTTAGGTTAAGTAAAGACCTACTATTAGTCTTCATCCTAGAAAAGCCTTAAGAAAGGCTTTGGTGAAAATTTGCCTCAGAACAAAAATTACTCCTTGCTGTTAGAGATCTTAAATATGTTTTTTTACCTATTTCCTTGCATTTCTCATTCCTCAAAGCATTTCTTTCTTTTTTTTTTTTTTTCCTTATAGCATTTCTTGTGAGTCAGTCCAGTTTGGACTGGATATATTCCATTTGCCCACCTAGCTTTGCTGTGAATATGAACACCACAGTAGGACAAATACCCCACTCCTCAGTTCTAATATGAGCCAGACCATCTGGATTTGAATCTTCCCTCTATCATCTCTTTTTAAGGTACTATGTGCAAGTCTCTTATCTGCATGTGCCTTAGTTAATTCTTAACTGTAAAATGGGCACAAGAATGAATACCTACCTTATAGAATTGGTGCTTGTGAGATTGAATGAAATAATACATACATTATCTGGCATATGGTAAATGTCAATTAAATGATAGGTTTTAAACTACCTAGCAGAGTTTTTAAAAATCTAGGAACCTCTTAGTAAAGGGTTAATAAAACTTCTCTGTAAGAAATCAACCTTGGTGTCAGCTCGCATTTCCTAGTTCTATTTTCCTGGAAACTTGATAAAGATGAAATGTCACCTGTGTTACGAGGCCACATAGCTTATGGTAAAAATGACCTTATTGGTGAATTACATCTATACTAGCAGAACCATGAATGAGTGATCTATAAGCACCCAATGAGAAACCAAATCTAGGGACTTCTGTGACTTATAACTCTTTTGACTTGATGTGTTCCTTACCAGGACCCCTGGAAGGTACACCCATGGCTTGTTACAATAACTCTTATGCGGCATAGGGCCTCTAAGCCAGGATGGTTACCACACTCCACATTGTTTCATTTCCAGGCGGTGACTCAGGAGCTCTACTGTGAAGACTCTTGCTGCACTGATATGCCTGATGCTACCCTACTAGCATGCTTTGTTTCTCATCCTGTAATTTTCACCTAAAGTGAAGCCGGTACCAGGGGTAGCCTATTTGATTTTGCGAGTTTGAACGCCTAGGGCAGGGATCCACAAAACCATGACCCATGAACCAAATTCAGCCTGCTTCCTTTCATAGTTTTACTTGATCAAAGAGAAGCCCATTTGTCTACGAATCCTTTCACAGGAAAACAGCATAACGGTTGTGACAGAGACCATATGGCCACAAAGAGAAGAGATTTGTTGACTCCTAGTCTAGGTGAGCCGAATATGACTAAGAAAGAGTATTCCATATATTACAACAAAACAAAACAAAACAAACCCCCAAAAGTTAGGAAATGACAAGTATTCAATCTCCAGCATTAGTAAATCTAGTAAAAATTAGTAAAAACTAAGAACATATTTAGCACCCACATACCTTAGACACAGAGTTTTCCCTGCTTTCTTGTACAACTTCAGACTGTGATGCTGACCCAAACTGAGGTTTAGGTGACAAATACCTTACAAAAAAAAAAAAAAAAAAGGCTTACCAAAGTTTAAATGCTTTGACAGACAAGTAGCATGTAACCAATATATTAAACCAGATTAGCTATTTACATGAAGGTTGCTTGGTCTGCTGCTTGGATGATTGATCAGAAAGAGTGTATTTCATCTCTCGGTCTCAGGAATTTTGGCCTAATTCCAGAGCAAAACTTAAAAGGTTGAATTTTGAAATTTTATGGAAAACAAAAGAAAAGGAAAAGTCAAATCTAAACATTTCTTAATTCTAAAAAAAAAAAAAAAATTTCAAAAGGTAGATAAGCATCAAAACAAGATTAAATATAAAGTCTTTCCAAAAGTCATGGAAATGACATTTTAAATCAAGAGAAGATATTAAGTTTCTTTTTAATTTTTTTTTGTTGTTGTTGTTAGTTTCTTTTTAATGTCAGATCTGGCTGTTTACTATATTTTTAATATCTACCATTGGGAAAGAGTTCACGATTAGATTCTCTACCACTATGGTATAGAGATTTTGTTAGATACACATTTTGTACCAACTGTCTGCCTGGAGAAAGAGAGATATATCAAGACATCAGCATAAGAGCCTATCTCTAAACTTCTAAGCACCATTAATAGGCTGTATGCCACTGAAAACACGAAACTTGTAATATGGTGAACAATACTATAAGAAAATGGGAGGGATGCCTGGGTAGCTCAGTAGTTGAGCAGCTGCTTTAGGCTCAGGTCGTGACCCCGGGGTCCTGGGATCGAGTCCCACATCAGGCTCCCTGTGGAGAGCCTGCTTCCCCCTCTGCCTGTGTGTCTCTGCTTCTGTGTGTCATAAATAAAAAAAATAATAAAATAAAATAAAATAAAATAAAATAAAATAAAATAAAATAAAATAAAATAAAATAAAATAAAATAAAATGAATAAAAGGACTGGTAATGAGAGAATATATTTAACAAACTGTAAAAAATCCAAATACACATAAAGAGAGAGAACACATGCACACATCCGTGCAGGTGATAAGGGCAGAGGGAGAGACAGAACGCGCAAGCAAGTTCCATGCCCAGCACAGAGCCCAAAGTGTAGGACATGTGGCTCGATCCCACAACCCTGAGATCATGACCTGAGTCAAATTAAGACTTGGATGCTCAAGGATGCCTGGGTGGCTCAGCGGCTGGGCACCTGCCTTCAGCCCAGGGCGTGATCCTGGAGACCTAGGATCGAGTCCCACATCGGGCTCCCTGCATGGAGCCTGCTTCTCCCTCTGCCTCTCTCTCTGTGTCTCTCAAGTAAAAATAAAAAAATCTTTAAAAATATAAAAATAAAAAACAACCACCCACGTATACTTACCACCTGGTTTAAAGGTGGGGGAAGGATCATTGATTTTCAAATCCCTTATGGGGCCTCCTCTTTGTCACCCAGCTCAGACAATCACTATCCTGAGTTTTCTATTTCTTACTTTTAAAAACAGTTTTACCATACATTTGTATACCTAAACATGTGTTGCTTCAACTGCATGATTTTGACTTTTACATATACAGAATCATACTACATGTATTCTACAACACTTTTTCTTCACCCATTTTCATGATTCATGCATGCTGTCCTCAGCTAGATTCATTTGGACAGCTGGGATAGATAGTATTTAGTTCTGCTTTTGGACAGCTGGTCGCTTCCACTCTTTACTATTATGAATAGCACTGTTGGGAACATGCCTGTACAGATCTTCTGGGGTTTCTCTGCCATCTACAGCTAAAGTAGGTGTAGAGTCCTAGAATATCAACCTTTTACATTCCCTCCGAACACGTAAATGCTCCTTATCATCTACAACATTGAATACTTCTAGATAGCTTAACTTTTCCAATAGGATGAGTATGAAAGGCTACCTCACTGTGATTTGGTGTTTCCTTAACCACTAATAAGGTTCAATATCCTTTCAAAAATATATTAACTTTCAGGTTTCATTTTATATAGAGTCAAAATTTTTTTTACCTATTTTTCTACTAGTCATTTTCTTACTCAGCAGTGGGTATTTCTTTAATAGTACATTACCTTTTTTCAGTTAAACAAATTATACTATCTTCTTCTTTTTTTAAGTAGGGTCCACACCCAGCATAGAACCCAACTCGGGCCTGAACTCAGTCATGAGATCAAAACCTGAGCTGAGGTGAGGGGCAGCAGGGGTGGCTCAGTGGTTTAATGCTGCTGTCAGCCCAGGGCCTGATCCTGGAGACCTGGGATCAAGTCCCGCATCGGGCTCCCTGCATGGAGCCTGTTTCTCCCTCTGCCTGTGTCTCTGCCTTTCTCTCTATGTCTATCATGAATGAATAATAAGTAAAATCTTAAAAAAAAAATTTTTTTTAAAGTTAATAGGTTTAACATCAAATCATCTTCTAATAGTAAGCTAGCAATCTATTCCTGGAATTGTCATTTTAAATAATATTCTTAGAGCACCTACGTGGCTCAATCGGTTAAATGCCAGACTCTTGCTTTTGGCTCAAGTCATGATCTCAGTGCCCTGAGATAGGGCCAGGCATGGGGCTTTGTGCTGAGTGAGGAATCTGCTTGGGATTCTTTACTGTCCCTCTCCCTCTCCCTAAAATAAATAATAAAACCTTTTTAAAAAAGACATGTAAACCATTAATTAATTCATTAATTTTCAGACTTTCTCCCTTTTTTTTTTTTAATTTTTTTTTTATTTATTTATGATAGTCACAGAGAGAGAGAGAGAGGCAGAGACACAGGCAGATGGAGAAGCAGGCTCCACACACCGGGAGCCCGACATGGGACTCGATCCGAGGTCTCCAGGATCGCACCCTGGGCCAAAGGCAGGCGCCAAACCGCTGCGCCACCCAGGGATCCCCCTCTCCCTTTTTTCATAAATAAAAAAATCACTATCATAAATAAAAAAAAAATTAAAAAAAAATAAAAAAATAAAAAAAAAGTTTTTCTTAAAAAAAAAAAAGAGTTTTTCTTAATTTTCAAGCACTTGAGTAGTCTTTTTGTTAATCATTTTAAGTTTGAGATGAAAACCATATAACATAAAATTAACCATTCTAATTTTTTTTTTTTTATGATAGGCACACACACAGAGAGAGAGGCAGAGACACAGGCAGAGGGAGAAGCAGGCTCCATGCACCGGGAGCCCGATGTGGGACTCGATCCCGGGTCTCCAGGATCGCGCCCTGGGCCAAAGGCAGGCGCTAAACCGCTGCGCCACCCAGGGATCCCAAATTAACCATTCTAAAATGGACAATTCAGTGGCACTTTAGTATGTTCTTAAAGTTGTACAATCATCACCTCTATTTAGTTCCAAAACATTTTCATCATCCCTGAAGGAAACCA